GGTGTATCTGTGGGTTGTGTGGTGGGTGTGTCTGTGGGTTGTGTGGTGGGTGTGGTTGGGTTGATCAGGTCCTGTGTTTGTTTCCTTGTTTGTCGGCGGGTGGTTGGAGGGTGACACTGGTAAATAATCCTACTTCTTTACTGTTCACTATGTATGTATGTTGCTTCTCTATCAATCGGTCTTGTTTTCCTTGCACTAGGTAGCCGTTATTGATGTGCTTGTTTCTTTACTTTACACTTTGTTCTTTCTATCAGTTGATCTTGTTTTCCCTAGCGCTAAATGACCGTTATTATTATTGATGAGCTTGTTTCGTTATTTTGTACCGTCCATCAATTGGTTTTTGTTCTCCAAGCGCTTGATAGCCGTTATTGATGAGCTTGTTTCTTTACTTTGTTCCGTCTGTCGATCGGTCTTGTTTTCCTAGCGCTAAATGGACGTTATTGTGTCGATGTATGTGCGTGTCTTTACTCCAACAAACTAACAAACAGACGGACGAACATTGTACGTGTGAGTAGATGTGGAGATGGACAGTTGAGTGCATGTATTGGGACAGTGTGTTTATTGACCTAGATGGCTCAGCGTGGTTTACCTTGTGCTGGGTGAACTTGTCGCGCGGTCGGGTGATTGGCGTGGGTGGTTGCTGGATATCCTTCTGAACCTTTCTTTAGCAAGCTCTGGGTTTGGGGTGTTTTGTTTGTGGGTTGTTGTGTTTTGTTTGGGGGGTGGGGGTTATGGGTAGTTGGCAGGTGTTTTGGTGTGGTTTTGCTTATTCTTTCCTATCAAACTTCTATCTCCCTTCTTTTATCCCTCATAAGGCGCGTTCATATGACCTTACGCAGTTGCGAGCGCCGTAAAACCCTATACTACTACTACTACCTCCCATGAGTGTGTCTGTGTGTGTGTATGTATGTGTGTGTGTGTGTGTGTATGCTTGCGTGTATGTTTCAATCCGTGTATATTATATCACAGATATGTCAATTTGAGCTCCCCGACTGTGTCTGTGTGCATGGACCGTGCACGTGTGCTTTCAACCGTCATCTCCTCCTCACCCTCCCCTCCCTTCCCCTCCCCTTCAACCTCTCGTTTCGATACAGCTATTCCGGCCTCATAGAGCGCTTGTGTTTGTACCTGTGTATCTGTCTGTCTGTCTGTCTGTCTATATGTGGGTGGGTGGCGGGTGCTCTGGTGTGGTTTGCTTCTTCTTTCCTATCAAACATCTATTGTCTTTATCTCCCCTTCTTCTTTTTTATGTTTGTTACTCCCTTGTAACAGCTCTAATCTTCTGGCGCTCATATGACCTTATGCATTTGCGAGCGCCGTGAAACCTCTACTAAAACTAAAACTGTCTGTCTGTCATGTACAAATCATGCACGTATGATCTCAATCTTTACCTCCCC